TGAACCCAGGTCTCCCACATTGCAGGCAGATTCTTTACAGATTCTTTGCCATCTGAACCACCAGGGAAGCCCATGAATACTGGAGTGGGTAGGCTATCCCTCCTCCAGGGGATCTTCCCCACCCAGGAATCAAACCAGTGTCTCCTGCATTGCAGGTAGATTCTCTACCAGCTGAGCTACCAGAGAAGCCCTGGTGTAGAGATATTTCATTGTAGGTTTAACTTTAGACTGTTTGATAACTAACGATGCAAAATATATTTTCAACGCTTATCAGCTGTCTTCTTTTGTAAAGTGTTGTTCAAGTACTTTTGCTTATATCTTAAATAAGGTTGCCTGTCTTTTCAAGTTTCACAGATGTTATTCATACATTTGGATATGAGTCTTTTACAAGATATATATACACATATTATATATATTGAAGATGTCTTCTTTTATTCTATGACTTGCTTTTCCACATTTTTAATGGTATATTTCACTGAAAATAATTTGTTACTTTTAATGGTGCCCAATTTATCAGTTTTTTTACCTTTGTCATCCTTGGTTTGAGTCCTATTTTTAAAAGTTTCTCATGACTCAAGTTATTGTAGATATTCTTCTGTTATTTCCTAGAAGCTTCTAATCTGCCTAGAAGTTATTTTCATGTGGTATAAGGTAAGGTCATGATTCATATTTTCCACATACACATACAGAAATACTTGTTAGAAAAAAATCTTTTTCTCACAGCAGTGGTATAATTGTCAAAAATCAGTTGGTCTGTACACGCGCAAAGTTTCTGGACTCCTCCTGTTCTGTTTCATTGGTTTATTAATATTTTTATGTTCCTGTGTAATACCACATTGTCTTTATACTTAATCTTGTGTAACACCACATTGCTTTAACTATGACTTTATGGTGGTATATTTGGGAATTCTCCAGCTTTGTTCTACATCAGGGGTTCTTAAACTCCACACTACTGACATTCTAAACCAGGTACTTCTTTGCTTGGGGGCTGTCTGGTGCATTGGTCCCTCAAATCCTAACTGTCCTGGTTTTTCCTGGGTACCTTTAAATATTGTTTTGTTATGTTCTGTTATACTTTATTCAGCTTTTATAATTGCCCCTTATAGGAGAGTTGATTGATACAAGCTTCTTCATAGCTAGGAGCAAAACTTCTGGAGTAAATTATTAACTTTTTGCCTAAGTCTAAACCTTGCATAACATGATTTCAAATAAATGACTTCCCTTAACTTTTCCTTAATATCACACAAACATCTGCATTTTTTAAAAAAATGATGTGTAAGTCACAAATAAACTAATTGGATCATTTAAGCTGGAATCAAGATTTCCAGGAGAAATATCAATAACCTCAGACAGATATGCAAATGACACCACCCTTATGGCAGAAAGTGAAGAAGAACTAAAGAGTCTCTTGATGAAAGTGAAAGAGGAGAGTGAAAAAGTTGGCTTAAAACTCAACATTCAGAAAACTAAGATCATGGCATCTGGTCCCATCACTTCATGGCAAATAGATGGGGCAACAATAGAAACAGTGAGAGACTATTTTGGGGGGCTCTAAACTCACTGCAGATGGTGACTGAGCCATGAAATTCAAAGACACTTGCTCCTTGGAAGAAAAGCTATGACCAACCTAGACAGCATATTAAAAAGCAGAGATATTACTTTGCCAACAAAGGTCCATCTAGCTAAGGCTATGGTTTTTCCTGTGGTCATGTATAGATGTGAGAGTTGGACTATAAAGAAAGCTGAGTGACAAAGAATTGATGCTTTCGAACTGTGGTGTTGGAGAAGACTCTTGAGAATTCCTTGGACAGCAAGGAGATCCATCCAGTCCATCCTAAAGGAGATCAGTCCTGAATATTCACTGGAAGGACTGATGTTGAAGCTGAAACTCCAATACTTTGGCTACCTGATGCAAAGAGCTGACTCATCTGAAAAGACCCTGATGCCGGGAAGGATTGAAGGCAGGAGGAGAAGGGGACAACAGAGGATGAGATGGCTGGATGGCATCACCAACGCAATGCACATGAGTTTGAGTAGGTTCTAGGAGTTGGTGATAGACAGGGAAGCCTGGAGTGCTGCAGTCCATGGGGTTGCAAAGAGTTGGACATGACTGAGTGACTGAACTGACTGAATCTTGACTTCCCTTCTGCAACTGTCTAAAAGTTTATAAAACTGATTTAGTCTTAGTAAGTTTACTTATACATAATGAAAAACATATTAGTATGCCCTCCTTAAGTACCTACTGAGTTTTTCTTGTTTCCTTCTAACACAAGTGATGATGTACAAAAAGATATACACTCTTGCAGAGATATTAAGCCATTAATTGTCTACATTTTGGATTTTCTTAAAAATGGACTACATCATGGCTGGAATAATGGATACAGTTTACTGTCAAAGTTGATGACAGATAAAGTTTGTCATAAGATCTATGTTGTTATACTTTTCTTTCTATTTTAGCAGCAATACAGAAATCCAAGTTCAACAAACTTGCCAGAAATGGGTAAATTAATAGGATTAGCAATATTTTAATCTGTATGTGAAACGATGATTTTTAAGTTAAAAACAAGGAATCAAGTGTGGAAGAGAAAGTCATTAATCTTACATTTGGGAGAAAATCTGTACTGATGGCAGACATGCAACATGGGTGGTCTAGTGGCATAAGTCAGCAATGCCACCTTTATATAGACCATTATTCTTTTCAGAAGTGGAAAATATTCTTTACCATACATGGGACTAAAATATTTTAAGTCATTACCATAATATTATCTTTGTGTAGGCATTCACTATAACGTTTAAACTATAGTTACGGGTCTTACGTGTTTTGTCCAGCGATGAAAGGAGACGTATTTGCTATACTCCAAGTATGCAAAAAGAGACACACAGGCACCCCCCAGGGACACAAAGGGCTGCGATGAACGTAAAACACACATTTGAGAGCCACTATGTCACAAACACTATCTCCAAAGGCATTTTTCATTTAAAGATTACCTGAAAAGCATTTTACACAAGGTTATGAAAGTTTACATAATACTTCTCAAAGTATCTTGTAGCCCCAAGTTTTCCCACTTCATAAATATCTTATTAGATCAAACTTTTATAAGCATTCTTGGTAAACACAGCTGAAAATCCCATTTTTAAAATGTATTTTTCAAACATTTTTAAGCATTTATTATAAAATTTTCATTCAGTAATAAATCACTAATGAATCTGACACCTGGTGTACAATATAGTTTATAATCAAGTAATTTGAATAATTAAATAATTAAGTAATTTGATTAAATAAAGCAATTAAAGCAATTAAATGATCTGGGTGAAAAACACAAAAACCTGCTTAAAGACTTTGGTAATCTAAATTAAATTTGTATATAAATTATATGTATGCAAGCATGTAATAATTTAATTCATATTTATAAACTCTAAATGATATATATATGATGTTTGGAAGTATATATACACATATATACATGTGCATATATGCATATATTATTAAAAACTGAGATTGCTTTAAAAGAAAAATATTCAGCATTAATTATCTAGATTCTAGTCTATTCTAATGATGAAAAACTTTAGAGTTTACTCTTATGAAATCGTGACTAATTTTTAAAAATATTTTCCTGGTAAAACTCAAAACAATACAAACTGATTTACAATTCTGTTTCTTAAACTTGTTTAAAAGTGTCTATCCTGTAAATAGTATGATTCTCATATTTAAAAGCAAGAATAACTGCTAACTTATAAAATCAATACTTACAAAACTTCAAACAAAATCAAGAACTTCAGAATTGGAAAGATAAAATGTGAATTATTTGAAAAAGTAAATAGAATTTGACTTAACATCTTTCAGTAAGAGTATCATTAGTTATAATACAACTTTCTAGAATAATATATAATCACACACATGTATTCTGAACAGGCACCAAAATATAATATATTCTATTAGCTACTGATGGGATTTACTGCCTGCCTTACCCTAACAGGTTCACTTCATGAAAATACAAGAAACTCCCCCCGAAAAAGTCACAGTAACAGAGTATGGACTTTTCTTATTTATCAAAATAAGCATTCATTTGACTTAGATATCTGGTTCATGCTATAACAAAATTTAAGTGATATAAAGATCACAATAAAATAGTTTCCAAACAATAAATTAATTAATATGACCTTTATAGAGATGGCTTCAAAATGTATAACCCCTCTCCACTCCAGGGATTTATTTAACCTAAATGTTTCATAATTTTTATCTTTCTCTTTAATTGCTATTTACAATAATTAGATTATAAAATGTTTTTTGTGATACCTACTGTCAGAGCGAGTAAACGTAGGATTTCTAAGCTCACACCATTAGCTTATTTCAGAAAAAAAAGTTTTTAAACACTGCACATAATTATCACAATTTTTGCTTTGCTTTGAGTGTCTCAAAAATCCAAATTTAACATTCTTGAAGAAAATATGTAAGTCATATCCACAGATATATATGGAAATATTTAAAGTACTACATGCTGTTTTTCTCATGACATTTGTCAATCAGTGTCACTGTGACAATATATTGGCACATATGCCATTAACGCCAAACAAGTAAATACCTTCATCTTTTCATAAGAGAAAATTGCACATTTTCTCCCACAATAAACAGCCAGCTATACCACAAAGTACTCTAATAATCTTCAGAGAAGAACATCTTTTATCTCTGGTTTCCAAATTTTGACAAACTATGTTTTGCAACATTCACACATTAGCTTGTGCTGCTCTGGCTCCGTGACCATGATGAAACCTCACAGATTTTAAAACTGCTCTAAGCTCACAGATAAGAGCAAACTTAAAGCTGTTGGGTATTTGCTGAGGCAGTGACCAATCCACAGCACAGGCCCGGAAGAAACACAGTCATCAACACCCTGGCTGTGTTCTTCCTCCCAGGGCACTGTCTTGGACTGACACTGTTACCACATCATCCTTCAGATTTCCCATGTAAACTGGGAAACAGATAAACAAAGAGGCCATACCAGAAGGGGCTCGTCGGGGGCACTGGTAGCGAGCTCGGCGGACGCTGTGCGCACAGTGCTGAGCCCGGTAAGGGAGACATTCGAGAGCCTTCTCCGCCTCACGCCACTGCAGTTGTTGGGGATTTTAAATGCACATCTCTTGTGGTAATTCAGCCCACATCCTAGAAGGAGAAAGCAAAAATGACTTTTGTTCAATGATAAATTAAAAGCTACTCCAGTATATGGTATAAATTATGAATTTTGAGAAATAGTACTGCTTCCATTTTTGTTCAGGCTGTTTGAAAATTTAAATTTTCTCTTAAGCTTTTTCTGTGCTTTATCATCCCAATATGTCAATAAGCGGGGTTTTGAAATCTGATGTTAATGGATGAGCTCAGCAACCAGTCTGGTTATCAGTTTTAAACATGTTTTCTAACATAAAGGACTTGGTCTTTGAGGGATCCAGCAACAAAACTCCAAAGAGATGACCTATTTTTAGCTGCTATAAGTTCTATTGTGAGGGAAAATTAATCATAATGTTTCACAACTTCTGAACTATACTGATTGAATCAAGACTCCACAAAACTTGTTTGTCTACCTGGCCTTGGACAATTTACTTCACCTCAGTCTTTCTGTTGGTAAAATGGGGATAACAACTACCTTGTAGAATCATTAAGAAAATATGTAAAATATTTCACATGCTAGTTTCCACAGGTATAAATCATTAGGAAAGCACTGTTTTTCTCTCAACATTTCTACTGTTCATAGTTCTCACATTGTAATCTTACCTCAAAATTTTCCCGTGTGTCACATAGTAGACACATTTTCATACAACTACCCTTTAGGTAGACTTTCTTCTACCTTTTTACAAACAAATATTCAGAAATTATGGTTACCTTATTTATAGGATTCATCATGAAAGCTTGGGTTTTTTGGTCAACAGCTCTATCCCTCCCTACTCCACCTCTTAAATAGTAAAATCAGGGTATAATCTGGTTTGTTTTTAAGAATACATCATGGTGTTCTAGAAATTGAATTGAGCAGTTCAAGGAGTTCTGTCCATAGAAGACGACACAACTATGATCTTGGTGTGGGAAGCTTGGTACATGCTCCAGCCGGTCACTTGACAGCTGAGTGATCTTGGATGGTTTGATTAAACTTCTGAATCTTAGCTCATTTCAACAAACATTTATTGAATACTTATCATTCCAAGTTCTGGCTTAAGATATAAATTGTAATGTTTAGTATGATCGACAGCTTATAAGAGAGAAACATCCACACAATACAGGGGGAAAGATAGGAGAATCTGGTTTCCCAGATCAGAGTTAGTATGTTGAAGACAGGAAATGAACAGAATAGAATCCACACACTCCCCAGATCCATGGAAGATATCTGAGGGAAAGAAATGGCAGAAAAAGGTCACAACACAAGCAGGTAACCCCAGCACGTATTCCACTGGGCTAGGAAGGGAAATAACTTTACCTCCGCATTTAAGGCCTTGACGCACCAGCCCCCAAAGCATTTCTCCACAGTGATCACAGAAAGCTGGAGCTCTGTATGAATGAACAAAAAGAGTGTGGGGGCGAATCTGAAAGTCTTCAAAGGTGGCGGAAGCTGTAAAAATAAAAAAACATTGAAAAATAAGTTGAATGAACACCCTCATCTGTAGATGATTTGTATGCATGATAATTACTATGCAAGTGTGTATATAACTCGGCAAAGTTAGGAAAGATGCAACACTGCTTGACTTTCAGCCATTCTATTCCATTCTTCCCAACCACAGCTTTACAAGCGGTGGTACAGGAACCTCTTTCCTGTCTTCCTGCCTCTGAAGGTCTCAGACCACTTCAGAAATAGCCCAATGGATACTTATATACATGTGGCTGAGTCTGCTTTCTACCTGAAACTATCACAACACTGTTAATCAGCTATATTCCAACATAAAATAAGTTTAAAAAAATAGCCAAAACACTAGAAGAATGAATGAAAGGATAAGTCAACTTGATTTATAGATAAGGGATGTTACTTGAAAATACTTTGCTTCTTCTCTTACTTTAAATGAACCCAAGGTATTCAGAAATATTAAAGGAAAAGAAACTCTTGATGAATTTTATTTAGACAGATCAGAAGAAAGTGTACTTGAATATGACCTTGAAGAGCGGTACAGTAGAAGGGTGGGGTCCAAGTGGAACATAAGAAATCTAAGCGGCCTCTTTTGGGGAGATAAAGTTGTTTGAACTCTTATGCAATACAACCAAGCATTTAAATCCTGACCTAAAAATAACAAGCAGCCTCTTCACCAACATGCCAAACAGAGGGATTTAATATATACACTGCTGAACTTCAGTCCACTTTGAAAAATATACTTTAGTAAATCATATCCATGCTATAGGGTATTTTTATTATTGCTTATTGTTATTTATTCTATATGATGTTCATATAGAGTACTGAAATTCATTATATTTTAATTATACTTTTCCATAGGATTTTTAAATTATGTTTTGAAAATATGTTTCTTTTGCTGTTGCTTAAATCAAGAAATAGAAAGGTACAGAGAATACAAAGTGAAAGGCCACCCCTTTCTCCCAGATTCTGATGAGTGGGGCTGTATTTGCCCCATACATAGTCTGATCCTGAGGCTGCCGAGTATAGCCCAGGAAGAGCCAACTACAGACTGAGAAGTGCTAGGGGGGGCTTTGCCATTACCTGAGGGACACCTCACTTAATCATCATGAGCCTCCGTTTCCCACACATAAAAAGAAAGGTCTGACTGACGGTGACTTCTCTTAACCCCTGAAGCGTAAACTTCCATTAATCTTAGAAGAGGACCAGGTGCACTTAATTTCATAAGGTTTTATGCAAAGAGAATTTTGTGGGAAACTGAGGTCTTACATAGATCATTCTATTCTGCCTTCCCTTCTCTGCCTCCTGTTGGTCTTCTTGCCTCGCTTTTTCAACACTTATTAAACACCTTTTCCATGTTATCTGTCAATGGCACCAATCCAGTTTAAAAATGTAAAGATAAGTAAGACATATTTACAAAGCCTACCAGACCAGCAGAAGACCAGATAAAAAGAAATTTTAAAAACTCCATAATAACTTTTAAATAACTTAAAGTAACTTTTTAAGGTTCAAAGAAGCTACAGTTTGGCCTAAGTTACTAAATAGGACTGAGACTACAGCCCACAAGTGTTTTGTCTCCAATCCAGGCTCCTTTTCATCATTCCTGTGTTACATCGTATCTTTCCTAACTCTGCCTCAAGAGTTATACCCAAAAGCCCCACTGTGCCAGAAATAAACATCTGCAGTTTTCCTGCTGGTGCCTCGGATAGCAGGTATGGGGCAACGAATCGCCTGTGGAGAATACTTATGAAGTGCTTACCTTGCTAAGTATGCAAAGTGTGACAGAGTGAATGCTGAAGCTGTAGGCCACTCACCCCTGCTAGCTAAGTGTCCAAAACTAGGAGGACAACTTTGAGAGTATCATATCCCTCAGGGCGAATGAAAACAGAACATGCAGGAAAGTGAAAGACTTCAATCAGAAAGAATACTACTGATGGTTCACAGAACATATAATTGGACCATAAAAGGAGATGGAAAATTTTAATGGGTTGGTTTTCCCTTGAATCTTGAATAAAAGTACTTTATTCCAAATTAATGTGCTTTATTATTGGAAATAAACTATCAACTTTTTAAAGGTACAATTTTTACTCAATGGAAAGATAACAAGAATGATAATATGGTTAAGGTTTATTGTACTCTTACTGTATACTGGACACTACACTAAGAGATTAAAGTGTGGGAAGAAGGAGCTAATCAAAGAATTGTAGCCAAGTAACCTGCTCTAGCATTACCTACAAGGAGTTCTGATTAATGTTAATATTTCTTACAAAAAGAATTTCAATTGAAATAAGATTGAGAAATTGCATTATTATGTTTCTCACTTCAAGTTTCACAATATTATGGTCAATGCTTATTCTAAGTAAATCAGTAAAAAGGTATGGTTTGAGTACCAATCAATTTGCTTTTATAATCTGGTCAAAATGTGTCTAATTTTGTAAATGCTAAATCCTCCTTAAAATTGGTCTCTCACCATCATAGACAAAAATTGTTTTTAAGACATCAAAGAAAATAGCTAAAGAAAATATTTTGTGCCAACCATTAACTCCTAACTTCTCCCCTGCCTCTCCCTCTACTCCCTACTCCCACTGAATGACACCCAAACAACTATGGCAATACCATGAAAGCAATTAGTTAAATAATTACGGTAGTTTTCAAAATAAGGAAACTTAGTACCTGACAATACTAATACCTAGCTGCATTCAGATTTTTTGAATTAATCAGAAAGAATATAAATAATTTAAAAGATTTTCAAAGACACCCCCAACCCAATTTATGTCAGGTACATTTGTTTTTTCACTTTTTGAAGGGGATTAACATTCATAAGCAGTTAGCACCCTTGACTTATGTTTAAATGCCATTTTCTAAAGTTCAATTTTAATTTTAGAATAATTAAATACATTTTAAAAATAAAACTACCAAGTATGGTGAGGTTTCACGTGCATTTGAAATCAAAGCACAACATCAATTCATTATGAATTTACCTGTTTCTGCACCCTGGGGGAAATCAGCATTAGCTGAGTGTATGCATGCCATCTTGCCTAATCACAAAATTGCACTGCAGAGATAATCACTTAGCACAGGAAAACAAAGTGCATGCTGTAATTCCATTTCACTTAAGGTTTGGAAGCAAAATGGACAGAGGAGAACAGGAACATTAAAGTGTTTAGAGATTCCAAGAGAGGACAATGTGCTATCTGTCTGGATGTCACAATCAATCAGGTGACCTAAATTAAAACCATAAGACAAGGCTACCCACTGAACACAATGGGCCCCTTATACTGGTATTTGTATCTCTGATTTGCTCTATTCACAGTCTATTGTTATACTCTGTGGTACAGGAGAGGAGAAAATGACATGCTTTCCTTAGTCACTGAGCATTTGAAACAGGTAATTGAGCCAAAAACTCTAAGATAATCAGTACTTCTTTTAAGGCTCATTAGAAATTGTTGCACAAAATGGAATAAACTGTTTGGTTAGCAGTACAGAAGAAATTAGGCTTCGGAAGCAAAATAAATAATCTCTGGAGGTCAAATTTATTTGAATAATAAAATAAAATAATGTCCCATCTTGCAAGATTTTCAGTTAATTTCTCTTACTGGTAATTTTGGCAACTGGGGAGAAGCATTAACTCTTTCTGGCACTGACCATTTGGAACAGGTATAAGAAGAAGAAAAGCTTAACACATTTCAAGCATCATCTCATTCAATCTTTCACAAGGACTTTATGAAGTAGATATTATTATTCCACTTTAGAGATGAGAAAATTGAGTCCCAGAAAAATTAAGGAGCTGTCCTAGGTGACACAGGATCTTGATTCAGACAATCTGACACCTGAACCACACGAACCCTTAATAATCATCATATTCTCTGACCATTGAAATTCTGTCGATTATAAATATTCTGCATATTTAATGAATCACTAGGAAAAGATTCAGAAAAGAAAAAGGAAAGAAAGAAACACTGTAAGTAAATATAACACACCCTAAAGGCTTCCCAGTGGCTCAGACGGTAAAGAATCTGCCTCCAATGCAGGAGACCTGGGTAGTCTCTAGTTTGGAAGATCCTCTGGAGGAGGGCATGACAACCCATTCTAGTATTCTTGCCTGGAGATTTCCCATGGACAGAGGAGCCTGGTGGGAGCTACAGTCAGTGGGGTCGCAAAACTTGGACATGACCGAGTGATAAGCACATTGTAACGTGTGTCCTTACCACAGAGTTGCAAAAAAAAAAATACTGAGGAAAAATGTCCATGAAATAACATATAGAATGAAATTAATTCAGCTTATGATCAACATTCATAAAACTAAGATCATGGCATCTGGTCCCATCACTTCATGGCAAATAGATGGGGAAACAGTGGAAACAGTGTCAGACTTTATTTTGGGGGGCTCCAAAATCACTGCACATGGTGATTGCAGGCATGAAATTAAAAGGCACTTGCTCTTTGGAAGGAAAGTTATGACCAACCTAGACAGCATATTAAAAAGCAGAGACATTACTTTGTCAACAAAGGTCCATCTAGTCAAGGCTATGGTTTTTTCCAGTGGTCATGTATGGATGTGAGAGTTGGACTATAAAGAAAGCTGAGCGCCAAAGAATTGATGGTTTTGAACTGTAGTGTTGGAGAAGACTCTTGAGAGTCCCTTGGATTGCAAGGAGATCCATCCAGTCCATCCTAAAGGAGATCAGTCCTGAGTGTTCATTGGAAGGACTGATGTTGAAGCTGAAACTCCAATCCTCTGGCCACCTGATGCGAAGAGCTGACTCATCTGAAAAGACCCTGATGCCGGGTAAGATTGAAGGCAGGAGGAGAAAGGGACAAAAGAGGATGAGATGGTTAGATGGCATCACTGACTCAATGGACATGAGTTTGGATAAACTCCAGGAGTTGGTGATGGCCAGGGAGGCCTGACATGCTGCGGTTCATGGGGTCGCAAAGAGTCGGACACGAATGAGCGACTGAACTGAACTGATGATCAAAAATCCTTTTAA